CCCCGTGTGTCCCCAGGAGCCCTCCCCGTCCCGTGCCCGTGTCCCCGCTCACCTGAGTGGATGAACATGTGCTTGGTGTAGTTCTTGCGGGAGCTGAAGCTCTTCTGGCAGTGCCCGCACTGGTAGGGGGGCTGGGGGCCCCGGGGGGGCCCGGCCAGCGGTGCCGGCGGTGCCGTGGGCACAGCGCCCCCCTCCACACCCCCCTCGTAGGGCGGTGGCAAAGGCGGGGGCGCCCCAAACCCGAACCCGTCGCCCCCCGGCGCCTCCCGGCCGCGCTCGGGCCCGAAGGCGCCGCCGCCTCTGCCGTCATCACCGGGCCAGGGCGGCAGGAAAGCGTCGGGGAAAACCTCGGGGGCGCCGAAAAACGGCGGGTCCGGGGCTGGGAAGGGCGGGGGGGCCACGCCCGGCGGCACAACCCCTTCTGGCGGCCCCCCTTCATCCTCTCCTTCCTCCTCCTCCTCCTCCTCCTCCTCCTCCAGGTCCTCGCGCTCCTCCTTGAGCGGCGGCGCCAGGCGCAGCGGCTGCCGCTGTTTGCGGCTGTGGCCGCTCGGCGCCGGCTCCGAGAGCCCCTCGAGCTCCGGCGGCGGCGGCGGCGGCGGCACCAGCGGCGGCCCCGGCGCCTTGTGCGGAGCGGGCAGCGCGGCGGGGCCGCGGCCCTGCGAGATGATCTGCGTGCACTCGTCGATGACCGTCTTGATCTGCAGCACCGAGGCGGCCGTGAGGATGTGCAGCGCCTCGGACTGGGCCACCACCAGGCTGCCGCTGTACAGGAACTCGACGAGCTGGCGCACGGCGGCCGAGGGCACCACGGGCGGCACCTCGATGGCCGAGTGGCCCAGCAGCAGCTTGTCGTGGAAGAAGGGGCTGCCGGCGGCCAGCACGCAGCGGTGGGCGCGCAGAGAGGCCTCCCGGATGCGCACGGTGACGTCGCAGAACTGGCCGGCCACGCGCTGCCCGTTGAGCGTCTCCAGCAGGGAGCGGCTGAAGTTCTGCAGGTGGATGTAGTGCACGGCCTCCGGCATGGCCGCGGGGACACAACGGGGACACGGGGGACAA